AGACTCCCCAAACCAAACTGTTAAAAATGTATTATAACAGACTCCCCAAACTGTATTATAACAGACTCCATATAAATTACCCAAACCACAGACAAGAATCACTAAAAATAATACAGTATAAAATAACCGCATTAAAAATGTCTTTAATTTTAAAACACGAACAAAAAAAATTCGAAGGAGACGGTTTCTTCTCTGCGCTAACATCTCTCATCCCCAAAGTGGCCAATTTTGTCTCAAACAACAAATCCCTCATTTCCTCAGAAGCGCAAGCTCTTGGATCTGTGGCAAACGCAGGAGTAAATATAAGCGATGCAGTGAAAAAATCTGACGAACTTAAAGAACTGCAGCTAATAAGAGAACTAAGAAACAAGAGACTAGAACGACAAGCCCTAGAAAAACAAGGAAAAGGGTTTAAAATCATTGGATAAAAATGGCAAGCAAAAATTACAGATTGGATCCAATCTTTCAATTGTATGATCCGATTCAATATTCGTTCAACAAGAAGAAAGAGGATTACGTAATCATCTCCCCATCGGTAGGGACAAAGACCCAAATAAACGACGGAGGAAGAGTTACCTTTGAAATTAATTCGTTGTCCAATTGGTTGCTGCTTTCCGATGCCCATTTCCGATGCGATTTCAAAATCAAAGACGCCACTCAGAATCGAATTCCACAAACCAACACGACTTTAGAAAACAACTTCTTTCCGTCTTTATTCAGCGAAATGGTTTTGGAAGCTGGTTCAAATCCGATAGAGACCATAAAACACCCCGGCGAGTTTGACACAATGTTGAAAACGGTTCTGTATCCCAAAAACTACGATTCAGTTTCGGGATGGATTCCCGATGTCGGTGACGGAGAAGTTTTAAAAGAACCGGTCAGAACTGTAGCAAATGACGCAGACCTTGCTAGGATTTTAATTGTAGTTGCTAGAAACACACTGGAAAGAGTGACTCGTGGAGTAAATCACGGATTTGAAAAACGAGCGCTTCAATACAACAACGTTGTCGAGAACAACAGATGGGGTAATTACGTTAATTGGAAGTTGTATCCTTTATTTGGTCTCTTGGAACACAGAAAGGTTTCCATAGGTTTACCGTATAAAATTCATTTGCAAAGAGAAATCAACGACAACAAGATATTCTTTGGTGAAAACAACTCTGACGCTAAATTGGAAATAACGAATATCCAACTTTACATACCGGTAATCACTCCTTCCGTAGAAATGGAAACGAGAATATTCAACTCTTTAACCAAAGACATCGAAATTGCTTTTCTTCGTCGTAACACGGTAGGTAGCATGACTTTAACGGGAGAATCCACCACGTGGCCAATTACCAACACTGTCAAACCAGCAAGATATCTAATGGTCGGTTTCAAAAACCAGACTCTCAGACAAACAACAACAACATTTTCAGAGTGGCATTGAACAATACTCAAGATCCCATCATTCACAAAGTTCAAGTCAGATTGAACAACGATAATTAACCCAATCAACCTTTGACAATTGATCTTTCCAAAAAAGATTACAACGAATTGTACATAAACTATAAAAACATGTGCGAATTGTTTGGAAATACGCCTCAGTTTGAATACACAGATTTTTCACTCAATCATCCAATCTTTTGTTTCGATCTGTCAGCTCATCAAGAAGATCTTTTCAAAACAGGAGTCAACATAAATATTCATATTGAAAAAACACAAGGAGATGTGACCGGCTACTGTTTATTGCTGGAAGAAGCAAAACATTTGATTAAAATATCAGATAGAAGAATGATAAGAATTGAATAAAAAAAACACCCTTTAAAAATAAAACCAGAAACGTTAGTTATGAAAATAATAGAAGCTATGGAAACGAATTCGCCGACTCTAATAACTTACAATGGTAAAAAAGTGCATATAACCCAAAAGATTATCGATAAATACAAACATTGCAAAGTCAGAGACGATATAGACTTGGAAAGAATTGATGAGAATTTAACTACAAAAGGTGGATTTTTACCTTTCTTACCTTTAATCTTTGCTGGTTTAGCTGCAGCCGGTGCAACTGCTGGTGGAGCTGCTGGGATAGCCAAAGCTGTCAACGATAAGAAAGCTGAAGCCGCTGCAAACGCCGAAGCACGTAAACACAATTTGGCAATGGAAAGAGAAGCACGAGGAGGTTCGGGAGTAGGAGATATATTAGGGACGGTTAAAGAATTCGGACAAAGATTTGGCGAAGAAACCAAGAAAACCGTTAAAGAGGGATTAAGCAAATTAATAGATAAAATCGACACCGGAGAAATGAAGGTCAAACACAAGGGCGACACCATATTTTTTAAAAACATACGTTCGGGCAAGGGAATCTTCCTTTCAAAGTATAAAGGCAACGGGGTGATTTTTGGTACGAAAATGTAATAAATAAAAATGGGCAAGAAATTTAATCATTCGGAAATATTTCCTAATAACCCAATGCTCATGTGTATATGCCGTAGTTAAGGTTCTGGGAAAACTCATCTCACTTTTAACATGTTGACAACACCAAACCTTTTAGATTTCGATTCTCTGTATATCTACACAACAACACCAGAACAATCGTATTATCAATTCCTCAAAGCTTTGGAATATTTACCAAAGAAAGATGTTCAAGACATATTTCAATATTACGAAAAATCAAAAATGACGGATTGGAATAATTTTTTAAAAAGAAATCGAGAATATATCAAAGCTAAGAATAAAATAAAGACCCAAGTTGAAAATAACAGATTACAACAACTCGGATTAACGGAAAATCTACAGACTCTATTTCAACCCATATTAAAATCTCAAGAGGATATTAAAAAGAAATTAGCTTTAGAACCCACACCTCATATAGAACTCAAACCGATTGAATATAATGGTGTTATAATTAGGACATTAGATGATATAAATCGTCTTTTTTCAAACCCTGACCCAGATTTACCAAAGAGCATTTCACCAATCGTTGATAATCAAGGTTTATTGTTTAATGGATTTAGAATTATATTTAGTGGAAATTCACCACAATTCAAAATCGACACAAAAGATTATATATACACATTAACGAAAGGATTAATAGATTTAATGAATGGCAAGGATGTTGGCATTGCCGATTATAAGGATTTAGTAGCATACTCCAAATTTTTAGATGCAATAAGAAAATCACGACCCGAAACAAGAAGATTGAAAGAAGTTAAACTATATAAAAGAGTAATTGAGCAAGATGAAGAGGATGTAGATGATTATCCAATCATACAAGAAATAGACGAATTCGATGATATGGTGGCATCTGGACAAGGTATAACGTTTTTATCCGACGACAATAAAGAATTGCTTAATAGATTAGAAATAATATTAGCGGCCATGAAGGAAGGTCATCGATCGGACAGACAATACAACGAAGTCAATGCCATATTAAAACGACTTTTGGAGAAAGAAATCATCACTAAAAAAGACTATATAAACATCATTAAAAATGTCCAATAAAGAACAATTGTTCGTTATCACCTCGAATAAACCAGACATCAAATTGTCTCTAGACTACGAGTATGAACTCGATCGCAATAAACAGTACGAACTGGGATTAAAGTATTTCTCCGTTTACAATTCCATTAGAAACATCAACGAAAAAAACAATCAACTAAAAATATCGACGGATAACGGAGTTACGTTCGAAACCATAAGCTTACTACCGAGGAGCT